GTGATCTTAGGCTGCTACCTTGTCATTGCTTAAAACTCATTTTAACTAGAAATTTAAATGATTGTTATTTAATAATATATTTAATCTCGTATAAATGTTCTTCATGTTAAAAATATATGTTGTAATTTCCTTAATGTTAAGCATTTGTTTGATTGAACAAATTTTCAAAACAAAGCTTTGCAATTTTTTAATTTTATTTATTTTTTTTATCACATTATTATAATATGCCTCTCCATATTCTACACACACAGTGAAATTAAATTTGTATGTGAATAAAATAATAAATACATAAAATAATGCCAAATGCTGACGAACAAGTTGCAAGAGTTAAGGCCAAACACCATCAAAATATACAAATTCATCTGAAATAAACATATTTTGAGGATGGATCAGAATGTCTTGTTAACAATGTTCACTCTTGCATATGGAATTAAATTGATTTAAAAATTGAACTGCTATTCAAAGAAAAGCTTAGTGGAGAAAGTAGAAATTGAAAAATAGTGGTCTCAACAAACATTTTTTATTTGATTGCTACACAATTTACTTTAATAGTTTATTTCTTCCAAGTTATAGTTTTGAAATATTTAATGGTTAATATACATTCAGTTTAAAATAGCTTTCCATTGTTGATAAAAACAGACTCAAGCAGGATACGCAATCTAATGGCCATGCCAGAAACTAAACCATGCATCTAGTCATACTTTATTTATTTATTTATTTTTTTCACTTTTATGTATACGTTAAAATATAATATCAATAAATATGAAACAAACAATGTTTAAAAGTATTTAAATTTAAAAAAATTAATTTAATTTGAAATGCACACTTGTTCATTGGTTCATTTACTTTGCCTTTATTAGGTACAGTGAGGTTGGACTTAATAAGGAAGAAGCTTGTAGTTCAAGTTTACCACCAAAGTTAGAAATTGCAGTCTAACTGGTGAATTTTATATTTAATACCAATTAAATTTAAACGGAGATAAGCAAGAGGCAAAGTCTTACACTATCAACAGGAAAAACACATTTGTTCATTATTGTTTTTTGTTGTCCTTCTTTATTAAATTATGATTTATTTGTATTAGGCTATTTTTATAAAGTAGGAAAATAGATTAAACATCATACTCCTTTGAGTTATAACATTTTGGCATCACTTATTAATATATATCATAAACATGTATTGATTAATGGTTAATGATTTATATAAGCTCAACTCTGCACACAAATGTAATGATACATACATACACATTTGTACAGTCTCAAGAATCACGCAGCCAAGGTATTTGTACGCCTGGGGTAGACCTCGGTCTTATCCAGCCAGTCACTGACCATGGATTCTGGGTCTCACTGATAGTTAAATACATTCTTTCTTATTTACATACCACCCATTCAATTAGGGTGGTGGAGTATTCAATATCCCTCACCACCTTACCCATGTCCCTACCAGCAGCACAGAACAGAGACACGAGGATGAGCAAACCACCCCGGCACCTCGAACAGCTGCCCAAGGAGGAGAGAGGCGCACTCTTTTTTGTTTTTCTATTTCCTCTCTGGAGAACGTGGATAAAAATTATATACATGAAACAACTTAATATGGAAAAGTCATGTCCTTGAGGGACAGGGACTAACACACCCTGCAACCCTCTAATCCGACATGCCAGCCGCCACCCAATATACACTAGGGACACAAAACTATCATTACCATTAATGGTAAAGTATAATAAAACAACTGTTTCCTCCAAAATCAGAACAGGGGATGGAGATTTGGGGACAACCTTACACATGTTCTACAAAGAGCCAAGGAGTGCACTCTTCAATTAGGTGGTACACATCAAGCAACCTTTCTCTACATACTGGACAAATATGCAAGCTTTGGCCCAAAAGTCCATGTACTAACAGCATATGGTCCATCCTTAATTGGGTGAGGATGACCCTTCTTCTATGATTCAGATCCTGTGAGGGCCACCTGTCAACAGTGCTCTTGATTCATAAAAGCTTCTCTGCACACCCAGCACTGACGCTGCCACCTTCTTTTAACCAGTTAGTGTGAGAGGGATAAACTTATTTATTTAACCTCCTTAAGTACTATTTGTTCCAATCCTTCCATTAAATCAAGGAATCTATCAATGTTTAGTATTTAATCCAACTCACTCTGGCTCACAAGATAGTAAATAGAACAAAAATTGATTTTAAATAAGATGGTTTCACTTTTCAGAATTTTTTCAATAGAATGAAGGTGATAAAATATAATTTATGTTATGTCAACAAGATTCTAGTTGGGCGCATATCAAAATGATTGCTTTGATAACTATTTGCACTTTTATAAAGTGATTATCTTTATCTGTCAAGATTATCTAAGCTATAAGCGATTATCGAGATTATCTAAGCTTGACACCTATTAATATGGATATATCAATACCTATTAACACAGCAGAAGAATTTGGATCCTAAGAATATTCTATTAAAATTGATTCTTTGACTTTCCAACCTTTCACTTACAATTTGATAATATGCTAATTTAGTTTTTTCTTTATAATTCACAGAAACAATTGTACTAATAAAATAAATAAATGACAAATGATGGCATGTCCAGTACTCTGAATATCTGAATCTACTTTAAGTAGGTTATTTGTTAGCTGCTTTATTAGCTGTCTTTACAATTACTCTTGCCAAAAGTTAAATTATTATTAAAAATATTACGTTGTAAGTAATAAATGTCCTGGCATAATCGAAATGAACTTGAAATATGAATATGTCCTAAAAAGTATTGGGCTGGTGAAAAAATAATGCAGATTTTGAAGGCAGTCAAAACTATTTTTAATTTTCATAAATTAAAGAAAATTTATTGGAAATATTTTTCATCTCAATCTTTGCCTCTATGTAATAAACACTTTTATTCCACTGAGATAGAACTTTATTTTGACGCTCAATGATGTCTTGGAAGGCGTTGTCAGCTTCACCGCATTCTCTAAAAATGTTATCCCTCAACACGTGATCAAAATGCTTAAAAAAGTGGAAGTCTGTAGGCGAGAGGTGAGGTGAATATGGGCGGGGGCGATAAGGTTTCATATCCTAAGTCTTTAAGGTTCTGCAGAGTTGGTATTGCGACTATGATGGCCTGGCATTGTCGTGAAGAAGAATCGGCCCCTTACGGTTTACCAATGCTAGACTAAGACGTTGGAGTTTCCCGTGCTTTTGTCAGTTCCTTGGCAATATTGCTCTGCTGTGATAATTTCACCATATTTCAGGTATATAGTGAACAACCACAGCAGTACACCACCAAACAATCACCGTAACCTTTTTTGGTGCAGATTTGGCTTCGGGAAGTGTTTTGGCGTTTCATCCCTGTCCAACCACTGACCTGTTATCGTACAGAATCCATTTCTCGTCCCACATCGATAGAGGAATGGATAATTTTTGTTTGGTCACTTCGTGCGGTACCATTTGCCGAGCTTCTTTATTTTACCAATTGCTCCAAATGGCGAACAACGGTTGAGTGGTCAACACTAAGCTCTTTCGCAATTTTCCGTGTTGTCGTACTTGAATTTTCTTCGATCAGCATTTTGAGTTGGTCGTCGTCCCCAGGTGAAGTCCTACCGCGACCTTCCGTGCATTCGAGATCGTAATCACTGAAACGAATGCTGCACCGTGCATTCGCTAATGCTTCCCTCCCCCCAAACTGTATTAATGTTAAGCTGTTTGGGCCGCACTTCCCCCAAATTTAAATTTGTACAAATAAATTTGACGAAAATCTAGTTAGGACATATTTAATTTCGCTCTTCTCACTCGTATAAAATTCAACATAAACTAAAATGTTTTGTATAAAAGATAACAGCTAAAATTATTTATTATAATCCATAAATTATATTTGAGGATTTAGCTTTGTTTGCATGACAAGCACCTGAGAAAATAAATTTTCCAAACCTGCATTAATTTTACACCAACCCAATAATTACGAACGTATTTGTGAATATTTCTCTTTGTCTAATAATTTGTCTTCTTAGTTTTTCTTTTTTTAAAATTTCGTTTTATTGTTTTCTTGGTTTCTAGCGGCGATAGAGATACTACAGACAAATGACTTCTTCGACTTCCATCGTAAAATTGCTCTTTTCCAAGCCTTTCATGTGTTCGCCACAAGCGCCTGTTTATGCGCGATTCAGCGCCTATGTGCACTAAGCTTAAGACATGCTTTGGGGGCGTTGGTGGCCGCAACTTTTTAGGTGTTGGCGGGGCGACTCATCAATGTAAGCTAAAGGTCCCCCGGCATATTTAAAAATGGGCTTTTTTAAGCATCTTAAAATTCTATACAAAATATATATCTATATACTACAGTATATTACTTTTTATTTTTAAGTGTAATTTTTTTAAAAAATAAATTAAAGGCTGCAATCTTATTGGTCATTAAGCCTTGAGTCTTTGCAAGTCAACGGCGCAGCGCGGCCCCCCCAGAGCGAGGCCCCCGCAGACCCAGGCGCAGTGGCAGCCCCAGGCCTGGAAAGAACGGAACCCCACGGATCTCTCGCAACTGATGCTTTTAATCTTAATATGGCGACTTTATCGAAGAGGGGTCGGTGTCTAGTCACCATCGACACCTCCTCCAAGCTCGCTGGAGATTCCTTGACCTCAGAGTCCGGGGAGGCACCCCTCAATCCAGCCCAAGACCGACCAGCACTCGAGGCCCCCACGGGCGTCGCCAGAAGTCAGCAGCACCACACCGCCAACATGGGGAACCAGCAAAGGAAACAAGAGTTGAGGGGATGGGATATTATATTTTATCAATTAGTTGGATGTCTGTTAAGAAGTTAAAAATTTTGTTTATTGATGTTGAGTTGTTGCTTAGTATGGATTGGAGGTCTTTGGGAATCTGATGGAGGGTTCTTTTAGAAGTGTATAAAGGACAATCTATGTGTAACTTTGTATAGATTAGAGCATAATATTGTAATGTTTTTAATTAACAATAAAATAAAACTATAATTTTTGTATTTTGGTCGTTTTATTATTAAAACATGTGTTATCAATGTGCAAAATGTTGTATAACAAGAAAAATAAGCAAATGACTTCTCAGCTGCGTTGTAACTTTATTATGTAGTAGGTTAAAGTAACACGAAACAAAATTGACCACACAATTTACACTAACATGAACAATGACTTTATGCTTCGCCACAAAAAAAATTCGCGCCTTGATTTTTAAACAGTTTCAACGGTTGAGATTTTCTTATTTCGCCTCTCCTTCAAATCAAAGGACCATGATAACGCATGGGAATGGACAGATTAGAAAGCTACCGATTCCTCAGATCTTGTGTTTCATTTCTTCCTTTTTGCGGAGCGATGACAAACAGAACCCTTATAGCAAGAGGAATAGCATAAGTTATTATATCGCCCTTGCCGAGGAGGCCATAGCTGTGAGTTGTCTCATTTCCCGATTTATCTTTTTTATCCACTTTGCTATAATTTCTGGCCTGTCGCTTTTAGAAAGGAGATTTATCGCAAGCTGAGTGTTATCTTAACAGTGCCCTGGATGTATGTGACAGTACCTCTACAGTGGGCGTTTCTTGTGTTTACGACATGCTTGCCACTCTCGCTTTCAAGCAAGGCGACGCCGCAAAAGCGGCAAATATAATCAACAATGCGATTTCAAAATTAAAGAAAAACAATGTACCTCAAGACGATAATTCCATCATCGACTTCAACCTGAAACTGGCAAGGCTCCATCAGGCGAGAGGCGACTACAATCAAGCCGAGATCACTTTCAAGTATGGTTTTCGAACAAAAGCTGAATTTAATTTTTACCGTGTTTGTTCTTTTGTTTTAGAAATTGCCTGGTTGTTCAAAAAAAGAAATACGATATCGGCAAGAGGGACGAAGAGACGATAAAATTATGGATCAACGTTTTGTTCTGGTATGGACATTATTTGAAACTATTGGGGAGGCACCAAGAAGCTTCGCATTGCTTCCTAAATGCCTACACCCTCAGTGCTAACGTCTCCAAGATAGATTCCAAGCAGGCAAATTTACCAGAGATACAGACAATTTATTTAGACTTTTATATCGACGTCATTATATTTCAGGTGATGGTGATGCTTTACAATTTAGGAGAGCTGGCGTTCGAAATGGATAATTACGACGAAGCCCTCAGATACCTTCTGAACGCCGTCGTCATCGGAAGGGCGGTCAACAGCTCTGAGCTTAACGCATACTTCAACAAAATAGGTCTCATTTATATGCACAAGGGTTTGTACACGGAGGCGAAAAAATGGTGCGAAAACGGATTCCATTCCTCGAAGAGGTGGGCCGACAAAGATGTGAAGAAGGAAGCGATGGATTGCCTCAGGAAGATAAGGATTTTATGCAACAAGCCCCGAGTCGGGACGAAAGGGGATGCACAGGCACAACCCAAAACCAAACCTGGCGTCGAAAATCCTTCATTCATGTAGTAGACTTATTAATACATCCATAATAACTTGTCATCAAAATTTTATTATTATGATTATTATATTGTTCTTAACACATTTTATTTTAAAATTAATAAAATAAGCCAGTGGAATTGTACTGATTCATTACTATGACGTATCACATGACGGATATCGAGGTTTCGTTCCAGCCAACATATGAATTAATGATTTTTAATAACAACCTATACAATAGAATAAAAATAACAATATTATCAAGATAAGATAATACAGTTTTTATGAATAATACAAGAACATAAGAAAAACCGTAACTATAGGAGTTTCTAAGGATTATTTTTATGATCTAGATGTCCTTAACTTGTTCATTCACGATCATCCCGGTCCGCCTACTCTCGCTGAGTGTTTTGTTCAGACGGATTTAACAGATTCTACGGGATTATGTCATATCCCATTCTTTTTTGTTAGCTCGACGAATGGTCGAGTTGAACCTACGAAAAATACACTAAACAGTATTGAAATTCATAGCTACTCGCTCGGGATCAAACGATGATGCACGGTAATTATTTTAGCAAAGTCATGTAGTATATTCCAAGTCATTAAATATTTACCTATTTTATTTAGATGGGAGGTGGAGAAAAGAACACCCAAGTGTTCCGTGGTATAAATAGCTATTTTTTACGTTTAGGACTTATTTGCCCATCTTCAGCAGACCAAATGGGCCATTCCCATATCTTTCCATAAAAAATTCCCATAACGATATGACTTGTACATCAGCTGTGAGCGTGAAGTTAATAAGCTTGAAAAATTTATTTTAAGACATAGCTTAAAGAAAAATCAGATAATTTACAGATTGAAAAGTTACTATTTTTCATTTATTGTATTATATACTGACAGGCAAAAAATTCCACCCACGTGTAATATAGCTTGATTTATATATATTTTTATATATTAATCAAATTTTCAAATTTTTTAACATTTAATAATTGAGGCAGTCTAAAAAAGTATTTAAAAAAAATGTAAATTGCTAAAGTCGGGTAAGTAAATGAAAAATTTAAAAAATAAAATTTAAAAAAAGACCGACAGATAAAATTTATTTTAATTTGGTTTTAGATTTTTAATAAACATTTCAATATCGCGTATTTCCTCCTCTTGCCTTAATTACATCTCGAAAACTGCTCGGCATAATGCATACTTTCTACCAGTCAGGAAATGTTTCTGTGCTGGAGGGTAGCCGGCTTCAAGATCGTGGAGTGTATCAGGACGTGCTATTATTCGGCTTTTGAGGTTATTCCATAATTGTTAGATGGGATTAAGTCTGAATGGGCTTGCCAGGCTAAGACCCTGATGTTATGCTGTTGAAGGTACGTTTGTGCTTAGTGACATGTGGAAGGGAATTATCGTGCATTAGAGTACGATTGTTGCTGATTTCATGGAGGATAGACAACGCATGATGTTCCAAAATGTCATCCACGTAGCGAGTGGCTGTCAAAGACTCTGCACGAACAACAACCAACTCTGTGCGACTCTCCAAGAAAATTCCCGCCCAGCCCATCACTGGGCTACGTTGAAAAGGTTGGCTCTGGGGAAAATTACAAGCTTCGTTCCTTTCATTTCGCTTCCTCCACACTCTTTCATGTCCATCTGGAGAGGAAATCTACACTCAGCTGTAAAAAGTCCAAAGACCAGTGGCTGTGTTCTCGAGCATATGCGAGCCGTGCAACTTTGTGTGTTCTGGTCAATTCTGGCCCTCTTACGGGGCGAAAAGCCATCAGTCCATACTAACTTAATCTTCTTCAAGCTGTGCGTTTACAAATTTTGATAACTCGAATTTCCTGGAGGTGATGAATCACTTGAACAACAGTAAGGTGCCTGTTTCGCAAAATTCTCAGCCAAAAAAACGGTCATCCTGTGGGTCTGTTAACCTAGGGCGTCCAAAACCCAGTTGTTAGAAAACGTCTAACGGCTTCTCGCAGAGTTTTGTACGGAACTCCGATGGCAATAGTCGCATACCTGATGGAACGTCCCTCATCAATAAGTGCCGCACCACGCGCAACATCCTCAGCATTAAGTGGCATTTTTAAGCTTGAAAATAGAAAGTGAGATAACAAAGATGAAAACTAAACAGTTTATTGCTTCAGAATTCAAATGAGACTGAATAAACATTTTAAATTCCGTAAAAAGTAAACAATTGAAAAATTCTTTATACTTGTTTTGAGTTTACCTCTAATTGATATTCCCAATTTAAAAGATAGCGAAACAATGAAACAAATTATGGGTAGAATTTTTTTTATCGTGAAAATGAAAAAGTCAATTGGACGGAACGTTTTGCCTATCAGTGTATATCAACTTCCAATATGACAATAACTGTTATCTATTTTCTATCATTATCACTAAGTACCAATGACTTTTCTTTTATTAAAACAAATCTTATGAATTAAGATAGGTCGGTCCTTTTTTTTGAAGAGGGGATTTTAACGGAAGCTATAAAACAGATAGAGACGTGTGTAAATAATTTAGTTAAAAATAATGTACTTTAGTATCCTGAGGTGGAGCCGAATAGGATGATCGTGTAGCCCCTTGTTGTCCATTATAAGCGTCAAATAAAAATAAATAAATAACGCGAGATTTAAAAGACGGCGTGATCGTTTACAACAAATGCGAAGGTGGCGCTCAGGGCTATGGACTTGATTAGTCTCGGGACCATATTCATGACTGGGCAATGGGTTTCGTGAGGTACACGGACCGAGGCCGACAAAGCCCCCGTGTACCTCGGGGTACCTTAATTGACAAGCGAGAGCCACGGTGGAGCTTCGTTAGTCTATGGACCGTAAATCAATTATGGCACCGTGGATGTTTTATTGTGATTTTGTTTGTTTAGCCAATTAGCCCCTCATCCCCTTCTTTTCTTCTTTCCTAAGGCAGAGTTATAGTCGCCCTTCTATTAATGAAGTTATTTCTTTCCGACTAACGAGGCCTACAACAATATATGGGCAATTATGGCTATTCTGGAAATCAATTTGGTTTTTTTTCCCGAGGTCGATTGTATATTTCGTTTTTTCCAGGCTGGGTTGTTATTTTTATTGCTTATTCCCTGGCCACCTTTTATAGCCGGTTAACTAGTTGGTGGGTGTAATTAGTCGCGAAATTCATTTCTATCCGACCGGGGTCCCGCCGTCACAAAAAATACAATGCTCTTAATAACAATAAGCATTTTTACAAGTAGTCAATTTTCAAAAAAGATTAGTCAACTTGCAATATCCGGTATTTTTATAATTGACTGATTGAACAAATATTTCTTTTAATTAATCATTTACGAGGTAATGCGATGTCTAAACTGTCATATTCAATCCAGAATAATGACGGTATCGAATGAATAGAATTGTCATTTTTTTCCTATTCATAAGGTAATAGTCTTTATATAGTTATACCCTAGATTGCGGAATGGGGGTGGACTTTTCCAAGGGTACACCGTACCATATAAGGTTTCTATCCACCGCCATCGGGAGCAGTCAGTTTTAAGAAAAGAGGGTAGTACGACCCATTTTCAGGGGACAGCCCGGATGTCCTTCCGACCTAGCTGGTCTGGGGGACGTGCTGGCTCTCGGGGTTCATCCGACGACGATCAGCACCAAGTAACGAACAACTGTTGTACGCTAGTACAATGTAAAAAAAAATTCTTTTGAATATGATATCCAGCTAATGATTATCCTTCCCTCAGTGATTATGTAAAGAATGGGGACTAGAGATAAATCTAGACAAATCGAAAAGTACGGTTTCTAAAAGAAGGGGTGGTAGACGGGCCAAAAATGAGAGATGGTTCTTCAACGGGTGGTTAATTAGAACTAAAAAATATAAATATTTGGGCGTTTCTTTAACGCCCTCTTTGAAATTTGATACCCATTTAAATGTAAAATTGACTTTGGCCAAATTCTGTATAAATAGTGCTTGGCATAATCTAATGAAGTGCCTTTGCCTAAAAGGCACTTCTTTTTTATTCTAAAGGCAAAATGTTTTATTCTATATCCCGTTTAATAATGTGTTAAGCAGCTCAGATTTGAGGCAAATTTACCTTACCTCACGTTTTCGAACATTCAATTGTTATTTTTCAACTCTTCTAGAACGTTATTTAAAAACCTGGATATATCAACGTAAAGCAATTAGATGAAGGAGTTTTTGTGAAAACTGACAAGTTGTAGGTATTTTTTGTAACCTCAGTAGAACGTGCAATCATGACCAAAATTTTAAATTTTGTAATTTTGACATGTTCCAACTGATATTGGCTAACATTTTATGTCATTCAGATTATTGCAAAGAAGTATCTTACAGCAAATTTAGCGTTCTTTCAAATCGTGTAATTGGATTTGTTGTAGTCTCAACATTTTGGAAGTTGTAAGCGTTTTTATGTGGTAAGGTAGTGAAAAGTTGAAAAGACCTAAATTGACGAATATCTTCAAAATAGAGAACTTTCTGAAAATTTTCTCCTGAGCATTTTTTGCTCCAAACGAAGAGTAGAATCGATTCCTTGAGTTTCGTCAGAAGGAACTGGGATACCCAGTATAGTGGGGTATTTATTTCATAGGTTAAAGTTTAGATTTAGTTTATGTTAGAATAGGAGTATGCTGGGTGGCGGTGCAGCATATTATTTCAAGGCTCCACCGCTGCTCCGCTAAGCCGGATCGGGGCGGAATAGCGAGTACCTTCCGTCCCGGATTCTAGACAGAAGATACGCATGTGTGATTGGGTTTGTATATAGGAGTGTGTTTCTATTTATTGTATGAGTGAGAGTGAGAATGACTAGTTTTAGGGAGCGTAAGTGCGCCGAAATGACCGAAGAAGTCGATGGCGCCCGACTAGAGCCCAACCTCGGAGTCGCTCAGGCACCAAGGTGGTTGACTCTCCCTGATTTATCAGGGAGAGGCCAGAGGCCTCCTAGTAGGTTTCGTAATTCTATTCTATTCTAATAATTAATTGAAAGAAGTAACTTGGTCAATTCACCACTAAAACGTAAATTTATTATATTAATAATATATTAAAGATATTTCAGTGCAATTTTTTATTTCCACGTATAAAATTACGAATATATTCATTAATAGTACC